ACCAGCACCCAAACATTACCAAAATGTTGAACAAGTGCAGTGTGGAATTACCAGCCTTGTGCATCAAAGTTCAATGGGTACTCAAAGGTACCCAAGGCAATGCTTACACCAAAGGGGGTAGAACCTAAACTCTATGAGTAGTGAGAGTGTGATAGAATTTTCTTTAAAGAAATTGAGTTGAAAGACAGTTTTTTTTAAAAAAATGATCCATGTAGAAACAGTTTTGAAAGAAAAACAATGGGACAGTTTTGACAAACTCAGAAACAAAATACATCATATAGTTCCGGGCAGTAAACACAAACAGGGAAAAGGGGAGTGGGGTAAATAGTTCACATGTAACAACACAGTTGCACCTAGATACCAAAGGAAAGCATTTCAAAACTTAGACAGTCAACAGATTTCAACCAAAAGGGCTCATGATCACATGCTGAGAATGTACTGGGGCTAGGGAGTAGGAGAGAACATGCATTAAGCAAACCAGTAGGCATGCTGGATTAATAGGAGGATAGTCACAGAGGGGCATGCTAGTTGCAATAAGGATAGCAGAACCATAAGTAAAAGCATAGAAGAAATAAAATAAAGTGCAGCATGTATAAAAGCATATTGTTTTGGATGCTACAAATCAAATAGAGGGCATACTAGTCAAGGATGAGATAGTGTAGAGCAGTAGTGTGCAGGGAAGTGAGCAGTAGTATGCAGACCAAACAATCAACAATGTATAGAGCAGTAGAATAATGGAGCAACCCCCAAATATCAATTAGTCTTGGCTTTCAGCCGACTGAGTAATCAGTAATCAACAGGAAAGCGGGAGAGGATGTGTAAAAAACAAGAGAGAACACTGAGTATGCTTATGTGTGTAAGAGAGAGTTCAGAGCAATGAACCTTTTTTGTTCTTGTGTGTGATGTTCAATGTATCAGTGTGTAAAGAGAATAGGGGGGGGGGGGTACTTATAGCTCTCAAATTAAGTGAAAATAAGGTAATACGTATAGACTGATCATAGTTATGGAAATAATACCAATTAGAATCAATTAAAAACTCAGACTCCCTTCAATTAAGGAGTCATAGTTCAAACGGTGCAAATTGTATCAAATAAGGAAAATTATTATTTGCAAGACTGGTATTTCCATAATAGGAGTAGTAAAAGTATACAGAATATTTCAAGTAAGGAAAGTATAAGGACAGCATATTGTGCACACAAATTAGTTCAAAGAATCACAGATGAAATTGAAAATCACAAGGAATCGGTACTAAGTAAGGAGAGCATTTCACAAATAAGGAAGTGATTCAAAAATCAGTGTAAAACTTCTAAGGAAAACATATACAAATTCAGGGATTCCACAAAATCAGCAGAATATTTGGAAAACGATGAACAATTAGACCTATAAAACACAATAGGCATGAAAAACAGAGAACCCTAAGCAAGAAATCACGGAATCAATAGAAGGCTGGAACCCTAATAGCAAAATTAAAGCATGGAACTCGGAGAGTAACCAGAAGATCACACCAACAAGCACATAACACAAACATAAACACATAATACTCAAAAAATCAGAAGATATAGTGATTTCGAAAGGGTTCAGGAAACCCTAATTTTAAAAAAAGAACAAAACGTTGAAAACTTGAACAATCAAAAAGATCTAGTAGAGAGTAGTGTAAAACACAAAAGAATAAGTTAAAAATCGTTTAAAAAGACAAGGTTTTTAAGAAAATTAGGGTTTCGTAATAAACCAGTGAGAGGTAAGGAACCTGGCTATGAAACTCGTTAATAATGATGCTCGCAGCACCATCGAACCATAAACCATCGGAGAAAGGTCGGAGACAACCTAGGCAGAGCTTCCGATGACCATCTCGGATGGTGGAGGCTTCTAGAGTCTCGAAGATAGAGGGAATCAACAAGACAAGGTTTCACGGTGGCTGGTGGTCGAGAGAAGTGAGGCTGGAGGTGGCCGTAGAGGTGGTGGATTTATCGGAGACGAGAGAGAGAATCAGAAGGTTCTAGAGAAAAGGGAGAGCAAGAGTCAGTGTAGAGAGAGATAGAGACCGTCTCTGAAATGAGGGGTTTGGGGGGGGGGGGGTTGTTAGATTTAATTTTGGAAATAAAACCTGGGCCGTCGATCTCACTTGATCAACGACTCAAATTAGATAAAAGCTGGACCGGGTCATTAAATCGGGTATCGGTCTGGTGATTTGAGGACTGGGTCGGGGGTTTTGGGGTTGAAATTGGGGGTTCAATTTGTGGTTAAAATTGGAATGTAAAGGGGCTATAATTGAAATGAACGAGGCTAAATGTTAAACATCCATTTCTTCCCTTTTTATTTTAATAAAAATAGTTAAAATAGTTTTAAAAACCAACTAAAAGCACTAAATTGATTAATAACATATAAATGTTAACTAAAAAATAATGGGAGCGATTTTGTAATTATAAAATACTATTAATCGGAAAATAGGCTATAATTGCAATTATAGCAATTTTGCTTTAAAAATACCAAATAAATTATATAAAATATGCAAAAAATCACCTTAATTATATCTGTGTGTAAATATGAGAGTAAGATAAATTATTCACCAAAAATGATAGTCTGGAAATAATTATTGAATTTTGTACTATTAAAATAGACAACAAAGTGATTTTAAAAAAATTCTTTAAAATAAGGAAAAATACCAAAACTCTTGGGTATGCTTATATATGCATTTACATACTATTTTGAGAGTATTTTGAGTATATATAAAAATACATAGGGAAAAATTTGGTATCAACACATGCCCAAGAGGTACTCTTGACTGCGATGCTAGGTAGCAGCCATTAATTGGCAAAATGTTCGTGAAGAGGTTGTAATTGGCTATTCCGGCATCCATGATTGACGGAGCGGTCCTGTGGGTTGTGTTTCATTGGCAAAGTTTGAAGTTTTCTATATATAAGGCTCCAGTTGGCGAAGCCGACGTTTGATTTGTATAAGGCGCTCCGATTAATTGAGCTGACGGTTTGCTATATACAGGACTTCAATTGGTTTAGCCGACGCGCGTTTTGTATAGGGTGCTCCGGATAGTTGAGCCGATGGTTTGCTATTTACAAGACTTTGACGAGCGAAACCGTTGTGCGATTTGACAGGGTGCTCTGATTGATTGAGCAGACGATTTGCTATTTATAGATTTCTATGTCAGCTGTCTGATTCCGAAGCACCTACAAAGAATTCAAAAGTTAGCCTTACTGTTCTAAAAAATTTAAAGTAAAAGGAGGAGAGGTAATCTTAGGCAAGTGGCGGGTCTGTCATTTGCCCAGTGTGGTCCCATCGATTCTTTACTCCTTGTTGACCCTGCACTTAAAGAAAACTTCTTAGTAGGGGAGGGGGGGAGTTTGTTTGTGTCGGCCGTGATATTGACTTTCCCCAACCTTTGACATGATTATGCCACGGAGTTCGGTAGATAGAACATAATACTTCATATATAATTTCAGAAAATATTTTGAAATTACTTATTTCTTTTAAGGCAAATGCCGCCATTCTATATTAAGACATGTTATGAAGGGTCTCCACACACGAACGTATCTCTTCAAGAACTTTGTGTCGTTGATGTCGATCTTCCATGGTATTTCTGACAACACGGCTACTCACTATTGCGACTGCATCCTAATTAGAGCTAACATTACAGAGGTTTCCTAAGGTTATGATCGAGCCCTTTCAAGTTGCCTACGTCTCCAACACGGAATCAGGTTTGAACGTAGTTCGTGGGATAATGATGAAATGTGATGAAACGACCAAGCCTGACTCAAGTACCCAACGTATCCAAAATGAAATCAGGTCAAAACGTAGTTCAATTACAACAGATGCAAAATGATGAGATTAAGAAATGAAAATGGCCGAGTCTGACTCAAACAACCTACGTATCCAAGTGGAATCAGGCTAGAACGTAGTTCAATTACAAAAGACGACTAAATCCGATTAGGATTGCCTACGTATTCCTTTCTGAGAAAATAAAGTCGGCGTAGTTCCTGAACAACATACAAAAATGACATTTGGTTTTTCTATTACAACAGAAAGGGGAGAGAAACCGAACCCTACATGGGTTGCCTACGTATCCCTCAATTGGAAGTCAGGTTGAACGTAGTCCTATTACATTAAAACCCTAACTCTATCTGTCTTCAGACGTAGTATCTCTTGACTGCGTCCGTGTTGATTGGCTTCGTGCTGACTCTTCCATCCATTTCTGCTAAGATTAGAGCTCCACCAAATAGTGCTCTGTGGACCACGTAAGGACCTTGCTAATTTGGTGCAAACTTCCCTTTAGCTTCTTCTTGATGGGGAAAGATTTTCTTCAGAACCAACTACCCTAGTGTGAATTGGCGAGGCTTCACTCTTTTATTAAATGCACTAGCCATCCTGTTCTGGTATAGCTGTCCATAACACACGAAATCCATTCTTTTTTCATCAATGATCATGAGCTGTTCTTGCCTGATCCATATCCACTCTATGTCATCCAATTTTGCTTCTTGAATGACTCTTAAGGACGGTATTTTGACTTCTACGGGTATCACCGCCTCGGTGTCGTATACCAATATGTATGGCGTTGCCCCAGTAGATGTTTTCATGGTAGTCTGATAACCTAATAAAGCTAAAGGTAGCTTCTCGTGCCATTGTCTGTGATTGTCCACTATCTTTCGCAAAATCCTCTTGATATTCTTGTTGGCTGCCTCGATCGCCCCATTCATTTATGGTCTGTAAGCTGTGGAATTGCAGTGGACGATTCTGAACTTCTCGCAGATCTCTCTCATGAGGTTGCTATTGATATTGGCCTAATTGTGAGTGATGATGAACTCCGGTATCCCAAATATGCAAACGATGTTACGGACAAAACCCGCCACTACCTTCTTTATGACGGCCTTGTAAGTAGATACCTCGACCCATTTGGTGAAATAGTTGATGGCTACCAAAATGAAACGATGTCCATTTGACGCTGCATACTCTATGGGTCTTATCACCTCCATACCCTAGGTAGAAGAAGGCTAGGGTGAACCCGTTACATTTAACTCATTTGGTGGAACCCGGATGAAATCTCCATGAGTCTGGCACTGGTGACACTTCTGCACATTGAGGATAATGTCGCTTTCCATATCCATCCAAAAGTATCCAGTTCTCAGAATCTTTTTGGCTAACGTGAACCCATTCATGTCGGGTCCGCACGTCCCTGCATGTATTTCTTCCAACAATCTGGTTGCTTCGACGGCGTCTACACATCTCAGCAAACCTAAGTCTGGGGTTCTTCTATACAAGACCTCCCCGTTGAGGAAAAAGTGGTTTGCCAACCTCCTAAGGGCTTGCTTTTGACCATTAGTAGCATTCTCTGGGTATTCCTGGGTTGCAAGGAAGTTATTGATATCGTGATACCAAGGTTTACCATCTGGTTCTTCATTCACATGGAAGCAATAGGCATGCTGATCCTTGATTTCTACCTCGATGGGGTCGATGTAGTTCTTGTCTATTTTCTGAACCATGGATGATAAGGTTGCAAGGGCGTCGACAAATTTGTTCGAAATTCTGGGGGCGTGCTTGAACTCAATCTTTGTGAACTTCTTGCACAGCTCTTTCACGCAGTGCAAGTACGACATTATCTTGACATTCTTGGTTGACTATTCTCCTTTGACTTGGGGGATAAACTAATCGGAATCTCCTATGACCAAAATTTCTTTGATGTTCATGTCGATTGCAATTCTGATTCCAAGGATGCATGCCTCGTACTCAACCATATTATTAGTACAAGGGAATCTTATCTTTACCGACACTAGATATTGTTGTCCAGATTTAGAAATCAGGACTGCTCCATTGAAAAACATCCTCCACCCAGGGTATAATTCTGTAATATATTCCCGAGAAAATAGTACTTCTTTATCGGGGAAATACATGGTAAGTGGTTCGTAATCCCCATCCACTGGATTCTCGACGAGCTGGTCGGCTAAAGCTTGTCCTTTGATAGCCTTCTGAGTTATGTACACAATGACAAATTCGCTGAGGAGAATTTTCCACTTAGCTAGCTTCCCGATGGGCATTGGATTCTTAAAAATGTACTTGAGCGGGTTAAGCTGGGATATTAGATGCGTGGTGTATGCTGACATGTAATGCCTTAGCTTATGAGCAATCCAAGTCAGAGCACAACAAGTGCGTTCTATCAAAGTGTACTTGGCCTCGCATGGTGTGAACTTCTTGCTTAAGTAATAGATGGTCAGCTCATTTCTCCCAGTTTCGTCATACTGCCCCAATACGCAACCGAAGGCATTGTCCAAGACTGACAAAGAGAGCAACAATGGTTTCACTAGTTCTGGGGGAACCAGCACTGGCAGGTTTTGAAAGATACTCTTTGATTTTGTCAAAAGCTTTCTAGCACTCCTCCGTCCATTTTGTGGCAGCATCCTTCTTTAGCAGCTTAAAAATGGGTTCACAGATTACTGTGGACTGGGCTATGAGATAACTGATGCAATTCGATCTTCCCAAGAAACTCATGAAATATTTCTTGCTCTTTGGTGGTGGTAATTCTTGGATGACCTTGACTTTCGATGGATCATGTTCTATCCCTTTTCTGCTCACAATAAAACCCAATAGTTTTCCAGTGGGGACTCCACGTGCACTTTGCTGGATTCAACTTCAAACTGCACCTTCGTAGGCATTCGAAAAATTTCCTCAGGTCGTCCAAGTGTTATGAACTCTTTCGATATTTTATGATGACATCATCCATATACACTTCAATCTCCTTATGAATCATGTCGTGAAAGAGGGTTTCATGGCCCTCATGTAGGTGGCGCACGCGTTCTTGAGACCGAACGGCATAACCCTATAACAGTAGACTCCCCAGGGAGTGGTGAAAGTTGTCTTCTCTACATCTTCCTTGTGCATTAGGATTTGATGGTATCCAGTAAAACAATCCACAAACGATTGCAGTTCGTGCTTCGCATAGTTGTCGATGTGAATGTGGATTTTTGGCAAGGGGAAATCGTCCTTTGGACTAGCTTTGTTAAGATCCCGGTAATCGACATATACTCTGATATTTCCGTCCTTTTTTGGCACTAGGATAATGTTTGCCAACCAGCTTGGATAGTTGGTGACCCTTACTACATTTGCTTCTATCTGTTTGGTCACTTCTTCCTTTATCCTCAGGCTTAAATCAGGTTTGAATTTTTGGGTTTCTGCCCGACCGGTGGTCTGGTAGGGTCAGCGGGTAGTTGATGCGAGACAATGTCAGTGCTTAATCCTGGAATGTCATCGTAGGACCATGCGAACACGTCGACGTACTATCGGAGGAGCTCAATCATTTATTACTTCTGCTTGGCTTCTATGTGAAAGCTGATTCTGGTTTCTTTCACGTCTTCCTCGTTTCCAAGATTGACTACTTCTGTTTCTTCGAGGTTGGGCTTCTTATGAATCTCCAGCTGTTTGATCTCCTGCGAGATATTGTCTGGCATTATACTCTCGTCATATTCCTTTTAATCTGAATCGTTGCGCTCTGCGGTTTCATTACATGTTATAATCGCGGAACGCAGTGATTACTGAAAAGAAAAGCTAGGTATAAATAAATTAGTAAAATAAAGTTGCAATATTTAGGAAAAAGATTCATTTTTATTTCATCAAAAGGGGGACATCTTGAGAGTCACAAGAGGCAAATGACAAAAAGGTACAGACACGGTGCAAGCCTCAATTGACCGTGCTCTTTCAAAAGAAATTTTTTGCAATTCCATACTACCAAGACTACTGACGAGCCAAAGATGGACTGGCTGTCCAATTCTGCAGTTCTTCCTTGGTTCAGCATCCCTGATAGTCGACTTCTTGATGTCAATTCCTTCACATGATTCTTCAATCATATTCATGAACAACTTCCCCATCCCGTAGATGATATTATCTTCAGGTGTTGAACTCTGTCCCGAACTTGCAACATGCTCTGGCACAAAAACCTTTTTCCCGGAGCTAACAGAGCGAGTTTTCCCTTTCGGAGGCTGATATCCTATGCCAACCCTTCCTTTCTGCCTATTGTGTTCAATTGGCTCTGTGATTCCATCTGACTTGGCTCCCAACTCTATTCCTAGCCTATATCCATATTTCATCATCTCCCTCATGAACATCTTGGATCTGTACGGCAATTGCATTCCTAGATTCAGTTCCTTCTTCTTCTCTTCAGTAGTCTGCATGATTTCTACAGTGTGGAAGGTGACTCCATCTAGTCCCTCAATGAATGGGATAGCATACTCTAAATAGGCGTAGTGACCCTACTCGCCGTGGACCACGATCTCCTGACATCCCTACTCAAAATTTATGCATTGGTGGAAGGTAGATGACACGGCCTCTGCCATATGTATCCATGACCTGCCCAGCAGAAAATTGTAAGAAGAGGAGATGCCCGTCACGTGAAATAACACTAGAAAGTCGACTGACCCAATTTGAAAGGCTTGATAAATTTCCCCATTAACATCCTTTTGCGAACCATCAAAGGCCCTCACCCTTACATGTATTTCCTTGACCTCCATCAAATGAATTCCCAACTCCCACAGGGTGGAGAGAGGGAAAATGTTGACTCCTGATCCTCCATCGACCAGAACTCGAGATACCACTTTGTACCTGCATTTGACGGTGATGTGAAGAGCCTTGTTGTGACTTGCACCTTCGATTCATCTCTTGTAAAAGTAATATATTTGCTTCGACCATTTTCCCAATTGTTGCGTCAAATGCATCATTGGTGGTGTTACTTGGTACACTTACCCCTCTTAACACTTTCAACAAAACGTCCTTATGACTATCATAGCTCATCAATAGATCCATGATGGATATTTGTGCTGGAGTTTTCTTTAACTATTCTTCCACAAAATACTCTTTACTCGACATTCTTTTCCAAAATTCCACAGCTTCTTATGCTCCTCCTTGGAATTTGTTCTCTCCCCAAATTCCCTAGATTTACCACTTCAGGGGCGTAGCATCTCCCAGACCTAGTCATACCATGGGCTGCGATAGAGTCTGTCATTTTGGCTTTTCCCTTTTGTGATAGGTCCATGAGATGGTTTTGTATTCCCGTTCTTCGTCACCCTGAGTAGCATCGGTAGGTTGTTGCGGATAACTTTGAACTATCACTGTAGGCTTTAGTTGTATTGTAATAATATGATCCTTTTGAGGAGGGATCCTTGTGGCTTCTGCATTTTCGATAGTGACAATTGTTTCCTTCAGGTCATATTCTTCCTCCAATGTGATCAAGTTAGCTACCTAGTTTCTATGATTTGGCAATGGGTTGTAATTTATATTAGGTGATGTTGGAGCACACTAGATAGCTCTACTCTTCATCAAGGTTTCAATTTCATTATTCAACTTGAAACAGTCTTCAGTATCGTGCCCCGGTACATTGGAATGATACATGCATCTCTTTGTGGTATCAAAATATTTGGAGGGATGTTCAAGGAAACCTCAAATCACGTCAAACAACATCAAAAAACATGAATCGCACCTCAATTCAAGCCTATTGAAACTAATAAATTTTCAACTTCTACAATCGATGTCGTTTCCTATCAAACCAACTCTGATTGACCTCAAATTTTACATACAAGCCATAAGTGACACATCAGGCCTATTCCAACTTACAGAACCAAAATTCGATCCCGGTAACCACAAAGTCAACTCTCGGTCAAACTTCTCAACTCTCTAAACTTCAACTTTCCCAACTTTCGCCAATTCAATCCAAAATNGTGGTTTAGATAGGAACGTATGGTCGTGGCGGGTTTTGGTTGTTGTTGGCTCGAGGAGGATTGTATTGTAATTGAGGGTGGTAATATGGCTGTGTATTATAGACTGGTAAGTGGGTGGTGGTGAGTGGTTGTTTGGGGAGTACGAGGTGCTTTATGAGATGCTTTATACCTCCTCTTTCTTTTCTTTCTGCTACCGATTGATCCTGACTGGATGGCCTTGCTGGCCGCTTGCAGTCCTGCCATAGATTGCACCTTACTAGATTTTATGCCCTCATTTAGGAAATCTCCCATCTTAACCAGCTCGGGGAACTTTTGACCCATCATTTCCATTATCTTTTCAAAGTATATTTCCTCTTGGGCTCGGATGAAGTACTTGGTTAGTTCACTGTCATCCACCGGCAGTTGCGCCCTAGCAGCTTGCGTCCTCCACTGTCGTGCATATTCGTGAAACAATTTAGATGGTTTTTTTTGCAAGTTCACCAACGCGAACCGATTAGGAGTGATTTCTGTATTGAATCAAAAATGGTTCATGAAGTCCTCCGACATATCTTGCCATGTTCTTCAATTTCGCGGGTCCTATCAGGTGTACCATGTGAGTGCTACTCCCGTCAGACTCTTTATAAGTAATTTTATCCTTAGTTTCCCATTTCTCCCCACTCCGACCAACTTGTCGCAATAAGCCCTTAAATGCACGTGAGGATCCCCTGCCCCATCGAATACGTTGAACTTTGGAGGTTTGTACCCTAGTAGTATATCCATATCTGAGTGAATACATTGGTCCTCATAATCTAAGCTTTCACTTCCTCAGGAAACTTGGAGACTCTTCATTTGCCTTCTCAACATTTACAACTGCTCAGATACTGACCCTTCTTCCTTACGCCTAGCTTCTCTCTCCA